GGCGAAACCGGACGGGCTAAAAACCGTCCGGTTCCGCCGGCCGGACGGGCTAAAAGCCGTCCGGTTTCGCCGGTCGGACGGGTTTTTTTTTTTTTTTACTTTTTGAAAAAAATGCAAGGGGCAAAATTGTCCAAGGGAGACGGTGAACAGCAAATGAGATATTTGAACGTGTCTGAAAGTCGCACATTCCAACAGTGAAGTGGACAAAGGAACTTATTAGAGATGTGAAAAAGACATGACCAAACAATACAGCCATCATTTCATTGTCATTTTTATCTTTTATTTATGGGAAAGAAAATAAAGAAAGTAAAATTTGTACATTCACTTTTTAGTATATATAATGTTCGCCCTATTCACCAATATGGAATTGAATTACATCGTCATGTTAGTGTTGTCAACTACTCTACCCAAAGCAAAGAAAAGGAAAGAAAGAATTGGAGCAATCTCATTGGGTGGCCCACTAGGCCCACAAGCATAAGACTACTACATACTTTCACCCAAAAATCAACTCAACCAAGATGAAAGATAATGTCACATCAATTGGGTGTATCATTTATTTTTAGTTTTTTATTTTCAAATTCACCCTAATTTCTCTTGGGTTTTGGGTTGGGTTTATTGACTCTAGCAAGATCATTATGCTAATGTGATAGATATTATGTGATGATTTTTGTTTTTTTATATGGACTTCAGCGTATCAAGTCAATATTGGTTCACGTGAATAAGCAAATAGTGATGGACTGGTTAGTTTTTCTAAGTCTAAATTGGATAACTGATGAATATTTAGGATTCGATTAATGCCATCAAATCGCGTATTAAGTGCATGCATGATAAAAAGAGAATAATAAAAAATAAAATTAATTATGGGTTCACACAGCCTTTCTCCATCTAGCTCGAGTGGCCCTCCCATAGAGTAATAAATTAAATTGATTTTGATTAAATTTATTGGTTAAAGTAAAATAATTTTTAGTAAGACTGATTGAGTAGAGGATTGAATGATATTATAATGTTGTATTTAAAAAGTATTTAAAGTGTAATAATTAAAATTAATGTGATATAAAAGTAGGTAGGAGAGATGATGTAGGAAAGCATACGAATGAGAAATAAAAAAAGATACGTATTTTCTTATTCAACTTCAACTACCCGTCACAAAGTAAAAGAACTCTTTAAATAAACCCCTCAATCTAAACCTAGCTTATTCTCTAAGCTATTACTAATTATTAAATAATAATAATAATAATAATAATAATAATAATAATAATATATTATTATTATTATTATTATTATTATTATTATTATTATTTTTCTACACCATTCTCCCCCAGTGGAGCAGGATTCGCCCTCGAATTTGACCCGTTCCTGTTGGAGACGTCCCCATGCCAGGAATAGTCCGGGCGTTTCCCCCGATCGAACACGAAGGTAAACCTAATCTTGGACGAGGATTGATCTGCTGCAAAGGCACATGTACACGCTTCCATACGCATAACCCACACAACGGAAGTAACACCAAACATACCACAACGTTCGCCATGCTCAAATCCATAACTACGACCAAACATCCCGGTGTCGGGAGACTTCGGGAACAACAATCGAAAAATGACCCACCAGTTATGGAGTCTCGGCTTCGGCTCCCAAAAATCATCTTTGGCCAAAATACTCAAAAAATTGGGTGTGAATGACGACTTCCCATTCAAAGGTTCAACCTCTGCAACATTCCACGTGGGACCCATTTTGTCACAAAAAGATGTCTTCGCCACCGACGGCTCCTCATAAAAAATCGGCGAACCATCGTAGATACCGCAAACGTAGGGCTCGAACTTCGGGAGATCGCTGAAACTCCAGCCTGGCGATGGACGAAGCCCGGGGGCTCATTGACGTCAAAGTCTGCTTGTGGCTGAATAGGCCCATAATATGAATTAAATCCATCTATCCCCTGGTTCAAATAAATGGAATTGGGCCATCTTTGCACAGGCCCAAAATTGTGGAAAAAATCTTGATATCTCGTTCTGCGTCTCTGCTCCAAATCGCGATACCCTCCATCTCTCCAATCCCGTCATTGCAGCGCTGCCAATCCTGGGCCGGTCCCTCGCCGGTCGCGCCCAGGGCCATCGGGCCATCCTTCAGCGCCGCGTCGGCCATCAAATTCCCAGTCCGCTGCACGGCCTCCGTTGTGCGCTTGGCCGGAAATCGCCTAGGGTTTGTTTGTCGCGTGACTATGGTAGTCGCCGGCGTCCTCAACAATGCGCCCATCCCGACCCCATCTTGCCTCAACACGCCGTAAATTACTCACGGGAAAGTACTGGAACTCGCCGAAATCAGGCGCCTCCATTTTCTTGCGGGAAAGTACTGCAACGACGGGATTAGCACGCCGTAAATTACTCACGGGAAATTACTCACGGCTCACAGTCCCATCGCGGTTCGTCTGCAATTCTGAAACAACCACGTTGTTAAGCGTCAAATGCAAATCATCGATCCCCGGAGAAAGATCGGCAAACCAATCCGTGAAACGCACGTCCAATTGTTTAAATCGGTAGTCGATTTGTTGAAACCGATCGTTGAAGGTTGCGTCACGTCGCTCGTCTGCGTCATCTTGTCGTCCCGCGACACCGCGAATCGTATTGACTGCTGATACCAACTGATATAGGGAAGCGTACGAATGGAAAATAAAAGAAGAGATTCTCCTCTCAAATACGTATTTTCTTATTCAACTGTCCGTCACAAAGTAGAAGAACTCTTTAAATAAATCCCTCAATCGAAACCTAGCTTATTCTCTAAGCTACTACTAATTATTCTACACCAAGAGATATTGTTGAAAATAATACGCAGTTAAAAATATGTGAATACATAAATAGTAAATTAAAATTGATTATATGATGTGTGAGGATGATTGATTCTTATTATTTAATTATATTGTAAATATTGAGTGAAGTTGGATTAATTAAATTTAAATTAAATTTTGAGTTTAATAGTGTAAGCCAAAATCAATTTTAATTTGCACCAAGGGATTAACATGACCCGTCATAGAAAATCATATTGAATGGCTCTACTGTGAAAATGAAGATAAGAGCCGGCCATCTATATCTATATTTTATTTATAGAAAAGGCGTGTATTTTAATAATATTTACAGTCTTTCACTAAAAAGGTTGTATAAGAAATAACTCAATAAGAAGTTAATTTATTTGTTTTGAATACATTTGCTTCGATATATCTGATTAGCTTTTTATTCATTTGTTGGATATTCATTAGTACATAATTTACTATTGTAAGTTGAAATATTCATCTGATTTCAATCTTATATCCTTTCATATGATAAATATGGAGAAATAGATTGAAAAACAATAACATATGTTAGAAATTAAATCAATAACAATTTAACAAATTTTGATTTATCAATTTCACTGATGAATTTATATTTAATATATTTATCTTTCTACTTAAAGTATCACTTATGTACTTTTTTTTTTTATTTAGATTTAATTATTTATTATTTAATATTTGTCTATATTTAGTTAAATGCACTAAAATAAAAAATACTGTAGTAATTTATATTAAATATATTTATCTTTATATTTGTCCATATAAAGATACCATTATTTTTTTCAAGAAAAAGTTCGTGACGGTTTATTCTTTAAGAGTATCTCCAACGCAACGCTCAAAATAGCCTTTTACGCTCAATTTCTCTAAAAAATGGTTTTCAATTCTTAACTTCATTTTGAGAGTAATGTAGAGTAATGCACCAGATTCAGCGTAATATTGTTCTTGCGCTGTCGCATTTTTCTTTTTGTTTCTTTTTTTATTTTTAATTTCCTTTTTGTTTTTGTTTTTACTATGTGTATTTACAAAATTAACACCTTTATAAATATAAAGTTTGTTAAATAAATTTGTAATTTAATTATAATTGAATCTAAATTGTACCATGTGATCATAAAATAACTAAATTCATCCAACCAAATTATTGATATTTTAAATAACTAATATGTATAAAATAATACATCAAATTAAATTATTTTTTGACTTTAAAATTCATCCGGTTTAAAGAGAATGTTAAAACGCATTCGGAGTAAAGAGAATGTCAAAATTCATAACCCATTCGAAATAAAGAGAAGGTTAAAATTCATTCGGAATAAAGAGAATGAAAGGAGAATATTTATGTGGAGTAAAACGTAGCGCAAACGATTGAAGACGAAAGTTGATTTTTGTTTCACTTTACTCTGGAGTAGAATAAATTCTATACTAAAGTAGAGATAAGGGCTGGAGATGTCTAACTAAGATTTTGGGTTGCTCTAAGCTCTAAACCATTGCATTTTAATTGAAGCAGAAAATGAAATCAAATTAATCTGATAAATACTGAAGGGTAATTTGAAAAGGAGACATGAGAAAGCAAATGTTACAGTACCCTCTCCAAACAATTATGGCAGATTGAATAATGAGCATCACCATTATAGTGGTTGCAAATAGGGCCCAAAGGCATTTATTCATCATCAGCTGGTACTTGACCAAAAATTTCCAGGTTGTTATTGATCTTGTCAGAACATTAACAGGCAACACACATTTTTTATTTATTTATTATTTTTTTTTTCAGAAAGTAAAGTAAAATGCCCACTTATTAATTCAAATTAACCAAATCTGATATTTTTTTGGGCTTCCAATGGGGGACATAAGGGCCCAGGCCCACGCCCACATGAGAAGTGGAAAATTTTAATATCATTCACTTTCACGGTCACGTGAGAATTAATATATCCAACAAATAACAATGAATACTCGATTTGATTTAGGTATTATTAGGGCATCCTCAGTTCTTAGTTTGGGGGTCAATGTGTTTATGTGAGGTGGAGGTAAATTGACTACACAAGCATATTTTTTCACCTTGTTTTGTTTTTATCTTCTTTTTTAGTGAACTAATATGTTCAATATAAAAACAGAGCTAGTAATTTTTGTTTTCTTCTTGCTAGATCAGCAAGATTGTATCCATACCTTGTCTAATATAATTTTTAGTGAACTAATTAATCTGCATAATAATATGAAATTTTGTATCAAATCAACTTCTAACGTTTCATTGTTATCCAATTATTGATCATTGTCGCTTTCAAAACTTTAAAAAAATTCTTAACGCTATTATGTGCAAACAATAAAAGATTTTAAAATGAATAATATCCACTATGGAACCTAATNATTAATTAAACAGATAGACATAACACGTATTAGTACACATTTACAGCCTAAAAAGGGGGAGAAAAAAAGAAAAAAAACTGAGAAATGAAATATTGCAATATGCACAAAATTTGTGACGAGGACGAAAGTGAATCACACTAAGCGGTCTAAGGGGTTATGATTTTTGCCTTTTCCTTTCCCCGACTCCACAAGCTCCTTTCCACCTTAATAATAATTTAAAATTTACTTTCACCGATTAAAATCCATGATTTTGATTAAATCCTTAGTTAAAGTGATTTATTTTGAATAAAGCAAATTGAGTGAAATTATAATTAAAAAATATTTAAAATGTAATGATTAAAGCTGATGTAATATAAAATTAAGAGAATGATGATGGAAGTGATAGATAGTTAAAAATATGTGATTGAATAAATAGTAAAGTAAAGTGATATAATGTAGAAGATTAATAGGTTCCATATAGATTGAGTCCCTTCGGGGACATCCGATAAAATTTGAACGATACAATCATACAGAGAAGATTAGTATGGCCTTTGCGCAAGGATGACACGCATAAATCGAGAAATGGTCTATGTAAATTGCTATTTCAGAATAACAACTTTAGTTTTAATAGTATAGCACTTTACATCTTTACTTCATTAGCATTTTAACCTTAAATATTTAAGGACTCTTGAGGTCCTCTTGTAACACAACTATTCATTGTTCTCTCAAAACACGAGCAGTTTCCCTCTTCATCCAATATTGTTATATCTCAACCTAACACTTCTATTCCCTCTGGAACACATTCTCTACTTTTTGGAACATCATCGTTATTTCCCATTTCATCTTACTTGTCTACTGACACATTATCTTGTGAACATGCATGTTTTACTGCTTCTATATCTCAGATAACAGAACCTAAAACATATAAGCAAGCATCCACTAATCCTTTATGGCAAGAAGCCATGAGAAAGGAATTAAAGGCATTAATTAGAGAAAACCAATACATGGTCTCTCACTGATTTGCTCCAAGGTAAGCATTGTATAGGCTGTAAATTGGTCTATAAAGTTCAATACAAGTCTGAAGGGTCTATAGAAAGGTATAAGGCTCGATTAGTGGCCAAAGGCTACACCCAAGAGGAAAATATAGATTTTTTTGATACAATATCACCTGTTGCAAGAATCACCACAGTTAGGCTGCTCCTTGCATTAGCTTCTATTAAAAATTGGCACGTGCTCCAACTTGATGTCAATAATGCTTTCTACATGGTAATTTAAATGAGGATGTTTATATGACCCCACCTCCTGGTTATTGTTTACCAAATGACACAAGAGTTTGCAAGCTCACTAAAATCCTTTATGGCCTAAAACAGGCTTCAAGGCAGTGATTTCACAATTTAACATTATGCTTAATTGATTATGGATTCACACAGTCCATTGCTGATTCATCATTATTTGTTAAGCATTCCAGCACTTCTTTTCTTGCATTATTTGTCTATGTTGATGACAATATATTGGTAGGTGATCACATTGATGAGATAACTGCAATTAAAACCCATTTGGATAATTGTTTTACTATTCAAGATTTGGATTCCTTAAAATATATACTTAGAATAAAAGTTGCTCAATCAAAGTCTGGAATCCATATTTGCCAAAGGAAATATGCTTTGGATATTTTACATGATACATGCTATCTTGATAGTAAACCTATTCACACTTCAATGGACACCAATTTAAAACTCACTGCTCTTGATTCTTTCGATTCTTCAATTGATGCTACTGAGTATAAGAGATTGATTGGTTGGTTATTATATCTTACTATAACCAGACCATATATTTCCTTTAGTATACAGTGCCTCAGTCAATTCATGGCTGCACCTAAACAACAACATTTAATACGGCAGCACACATAGTTCTCAGGTACATTAAATCTACATGTGGCCAAGGTATACTCTTTCCTAGATCCTCTGATTTACAACTTAATGCATTCAGCGACAGTGATTCGACTGGTTGTGTTGACACTAGAAGAAGTGTCATAGGTTTTGCTATTTCCTTGGGTAATTCATTAATATCTTGGAAATCCAAGAAACAACCTATAATTAGTAGGTCTACAACTGAGGCTGAATATAGAGCCTTAGCTGCCACAACATCTGAAATTCAATGGTTATGCTAAATGATCT